CTTCGCTACTTTGACTGCACTGCAGGGTTGGCTTTTCACTTCTTGGCCCTTCCCCCTCTCTCTGGGGTGGCACCCCCGGTCAGGCTGACTGCTGTTGGTTTGGCATGAGAACTCTGGGGCAGGAGCCAACACTTAGCCCCAGTGGTAGAGGAGATCAGACTTCTATTGGCAGGAATCTTGCAACTCTAGTGAGTTAATGGCAAACTGTCTTGAGCCCTTCGGCCCTTTTGAACATGTTTGGTTGCTTCCCCAGCTCCAGCACGGCTTCTCACTCCCATCACAAGGCAGGTTGGATCAGTTCATGGATTTTAGAACAAGTGGCAGCCTGGCTGGAGATTCTCTGTCTGACTGGAGTTACTCCGTGGTCTGATGCACTTCACAGCTTGATTGAAATGCATAATGGGTCTGTGCCCGGGGTGGGGGGGAGGGGAAATGGTGGTGGACACCATCCCTAGGCCTGGAAAACCTCAAGGTGAAACTTCTCTGCACAAAGGGAGGCGCAGCCCTGTGCTTATTGTTCCACCCTCTGTGAGATTAGCATGCAAACTGTGGCTGATAGCAGCCCCAGAAAGCCATGTGAAACAACCTGTTTAGAGGTTTCTCCTTGGGTGTGGTGGGTTTAGAGCCCAGTGGACTCACAATGGTGCCTATAGTTCTCTGAAAATGGTCGTGTGAGTCAGATGTAGACTGAAATAGCAATTCCGGTTTGCTTTGTGTATCCAATCATTGTTTACATTCTTTGCAACCATGACATTGCCACTAGCTGACTCCGGGCTGGACTTAGAGAGGTGTGTTCGGAGCATGTGACCAAGAGCCACAGAGTTCAACTCCCATTGCTGCCATGTGGCCCCAGGCAAATCTTGGCCACTGGCTGCTTTTCCCCCATCAAGAGGGGGGTTGTGAGAGTTAATTAACGTGCGTAAGTAATTGTGTAACCCACGTGCTTTCCTCACTCGCGAGTTCACTGCAAGGTGACGGTTGCGTTGGCGTTTCCATTACGAACATCGTTTTATGTGGTGCAGAAACCCTGGACGTGGGAGTGACCTTTGCACATTTGTCATTCCAGTGATCCTGGGAGTAACTCATCCCTTTACGCAAAGCCCTGCGCAACAGGGCACGCATCTGGATCGGGGCCTTTGGATGCTAGCAGGGTATAACCCATAAATCCACCAAACTCTCAGCAGCGGAAGATGTGCTGTCATGTCCTGGATTAGTATGATGTTGCAGATTCTAATCCATGTCATAGACCATTTAAAATGCTTAAATTTGAATTTCCTTGCGGTTTTATTCATGGATTTTTAACCCCTTCCTTGCTGCCGGGCCCTGTTTATCTTAGCAGTAGCTTTAAGATAAAATGACTTGGGTTGTGGCTTTTATAGACTTGTATAGCTCAAGGTGAGCACTCAGAGCGCGCCAAGACATCCTACAGTCCCAGAGAGGCTAGTTGAGGTTTAGAAGTGCATTTTATCTGCTGCTAGTATCCCTGTGGCCATGCTGGAGGAAGCCTGGATTGGGGAGCTGCTGGGAATGGCTCGCGTTCTGGTAGAATAAATGTCTAGCATGTTGCCCGGGTCTGTGATGCTGCTGCTGTTGGGTGAGGAGAGCTACTCCTTTGTGCCACGTGTCCTGACTTTTCGCCAGTACTCCGAGGGCATTGGTCTAGCAAGGGGCAAAGAGTTTGATGTGGAAAGGAAACTGTAAACCAAGATTTAAAATCTTTGCCAGGAGAAGTCTCTAGGATTGGGTTTAAAGTATGTGTCTTGAGAGGTCCAAGGGGGTGGGGGTGGTGGTGGTGTTACCTCTCCCTCTAGTGCTTGGGATGGGCCCTTTCATCTTTCTGAATTAGACTGCAAACTTCTTGGAGCAGAGACGGTTCTCACTGGTTCTCTAAAAGGTTGGTGCTTGACTGAACATTTGTACACTCTCTTTGAGAACATCAGCCCTCGCACAATGCAGCGAAAGGCGTGGTGTAAGCCAGACAGTCCCAAGTTCCTCTCATGAGTCTGACGTGAACTCTTCCTCCTGTGATGTTGGAGACATTGCCTAACCTGCCTGGCTCCCTGTGAAATGGAGGTGGTGGTGTGAGGATTAGTGTTAGCAGAGTGCTTTGAAGATAAAAATACACATATTCATGCATTGTCAGTGGAAGAAATCACAGCTGAGTTATAACATTGCATCATTTTTCTTGTCCTCCCTATAGAGAGAACCATTTAACTTTCACCTCTCAACCGGAGAGCAATTTCCTGTAGATTTTGTAGTGTTAACCTTTTGCCCAGACCTTCCCTTTCATGCATGAAACTATTCATTGCAGAGATTGCTGATGGTAACAGCTGACCGTGAGAGCATTAAAGGTTGCTTAGCTTCTTATTGAACTTTTACACTGCTCTGCAAGGTGCCTTGTGGTGAGGCTCTGCTGGCTCGTTGGCTAGAACAGCCCACGTGTGTGTTCTCTAGGTTCTGATCCTTACCTCTACCTGTGGAGAAGAGCATGGGCTGAGATGACTCAGAACCAGGTTGTAGACAAGCTTGCTTTCCCCAAAACGCCAGAGTCCTGTGAAGTTTCAAATGGGGGAATCCAAACTGGGCTTCCTCTCCCACCCACTCCCCCAATCCAGTTCAGCTGTCCCTGCGGCTTTGCTTAATGCCTGTCAGCGCATCAGCATTGGATGCGTGCTTTGCCAACTCCCAAAGATGCAGTTATAAATAATCCTACCCAATCAAGCCGTAAGTAGATAAGATTGTTACCCACCATCATGATGATGATGATGATAATAACAACATCATAAGGGATTGGATCTCAGTGGTGTTAATTTTTTAATGTTGGGAACATTCTTTGAGAGGAAGTGCAAATAAATTCAGCCCACAAAAGCCAGGCCTCCCTCCCCCACCCCAGTTCTTGTTGCTGCACACCATGGTACAATACGCAAAATGCATGGGTCTCCGCCCCTGTCAAGCCTAGACCCAGTCCAATGGCTGGCCAGAGTGGTAGCCTTAATTCCATAATTGCAGCCTGTTGTGGGTTTGTCAGACCCCTGTCTTAAACACTTATGTGGTTCTTAGCCCCTTTTTTTAGCCTGTTTAATTTGGGCACCTGTGTGTTGCCTGTGAAATGAGATTGTGCCTGCTTTTCCCACTCTGATGTCGCTTCTTTGGCATTATGGAGCTGTCTGAGGTTGGTCCTGTATAAGGCAGGGCGTGTGCTGCCAGTCACTGCACCGGGAGCTCAGAGCTGCTCTGCAGGGAATGATCTTTAGTGAGGACTCTGTTTTTGTTACGTTCCCTTTAATAGACAGACGCTTGTAGCCTGGCTGCGAGGTGCTGAGCAGAGCAGAATTAACCAATGCTGCGTAAAAGAGACTCCATCGGCCTGCGGGGTTATTTGGAACATCCGTTGTTGCCATGTGCGATTCCCAGCACCGTGTATTGGGAGGGGGGTTATAATCCGGAAAGAGCCATTTGGCAGCCCTGAGTGTCAGTAGCCTGTTGTCTTGGGTAGCGCTGTGGCCAGGGCGAGTTCAGTGGGACCCTGACACTTGCCCTGTAAAATACAAGAGGCTGGAAGCGCAGAGAACTCCTGTCAGAGGAGAGACTCCATTCACCTGCATTCAGGTGAGTCCCCACGGAGCTGCCACTGCCAAGCGGTGGGAGAGCCCAGAGTGGCCGTCCTGCCCTCTGGAGCAGGAAGGGGCTGGAGAGGGGTGAGAGCGGAGAGGAATTAGAGTAAAATAGTTCCTAACTGCATCGCTCCTCCGGTTCAAAATGGCTGTGCTTGCTGTGAGAAACGCAGGGCTGAGCTGGGATTAGTTGCTGTAACTATGGCTACTGTTCCTGCACTTGGGTGGTTTTTTTTTTTTTCTCAAAGTTTTTCCTTGACGGTAGCTGTGCCACCTTTGCATCATGGGGCTTTGAGCAGCCTCTCCAGGCCCATTACGTAGGCTCTTACTTGCTGCCCTTGATGCTGCTGGATTTCTGTGAAGTGGTATTTTCGTTCCCATGTGGTATGTTCCTCTGACCAGACCTCATCTGCTTCTAGGACTGAAGAAACTCCTCTCCTCAAATTACATCTGTTCCATATTTTTTTTATAGTAGAGACTGGCTCTCGCAGGTGTTCCTTTTATTCTGTCGCTAACGCGTCCACGGGGGGCTGGCATATTGCCTCTTATCCTGAGGGATCTTCAAGTACTTCAGAAAAACCGTGCCTGGCTATAGACAGAAGGGAGTGGGTTACTCCCCACTGCAATGCATTCTCTGTCGGGGGAGAGTGCAGCAGCCATTCTGTCACCCCTACTGTATGTTCCAGTCTTTGAAAGTGAGGAAGAGCTTCCCTCTTGAACTACACTGGGGGGGAAAGGGATGCGGAATAGAATTGTCCAGTCTGAACTTTGGCCAGGACACCAGGGCTAATGACCATACACCTGGAGTAAGTGTCGAGGGGATCCTTAATGACCGGGGATCTCTGTATCATGACTTGTCCAAAAGCTAGAACCTTCAGCTTCACAGCACCCTCTAGTGCCATGCTGGGGAACAGGTTCGGTGCTGACTCCAGAATGGGATTGCACTAGTGTGCTTGTGCTCATAGTGCTGGTTGTAGCAAGCAGAACTATGCTTCCAGTGTGGGGAGACTCTTCCGGTATGGGCAGTTCGCATTTATGCAGGGTTCCAGGGTGCTCTGCTCATGCTGCTGCTGCTTCCTTTCCCCCCCCTCCTTTTATTGCGTTGCATAATCAGAGGAGGCAGCATGTAGGTTTCCAAACCTCCTAGCTAAACATCTGCATGCTTGAGACTTAAATGAGCATCTGATGTAAACACGCTCCGTGAATGCCCAAGAGCACTGAGCTTATTCTGTAAACTCAAACTGCAAAGCACTTAGTCTGATCTCTCATTCCTTCAATCTTGTTGATACGAATGCCCCCATCCTTCCCAGCTGCATCGGTGTGCATGATGTCTACAGAGAGCTGAGTATCTTTAAAACCCTCTCCTTCTGTCTCTTGTCTTTCTAGGGGATGTTCTCTTCCAGATGGCAGAAGTTCACAGGCAGATTCAAAATCAGTTGGAAGAGATGGTAAGTACTGTACAGCTTGCAGACATGTTCTCTAGAGGAGTCTGGATGGGCCAAATACATAGGGGGAACAGCAGGAAGCTTTTGGACCAGCAGTTGTCTCAGCAATTTGTTGGCCTTTAGCTGCATTTCAGTGTGGAAATGCAACCACAGTACTGCACAGAGGGGGATGCATGAAATAATTGCCAAGCATTTAGCTAGGAGTAGAAACCTCACTTAGCAAACCCTGACTGAATAAAAGAATAAATTGTACAGGGAGGATCAAAAAAAACACTAGGATGTCTAGAGAGCACTTGTGCAAATGGTATTGTCTGGACAAAAGAGCCAGCTATTCAACAAATCTACTTCACGCAGAGCCAGTTAGCTTCAAAGTCCTCCAGTGCTGTGACCAGGGAACAAAATGGGCTTCAGTTTCCTATCCACATAGACTGACTTTATCTAAAACTTGATTGTTATCCTGCTGATGTCCAGCCTCTCCTATTGGGTCTTTCGCCATATGGGCTTCCATCTGTTTCTCTGACCATCAGCCTGTCTTCCTTTATGTAGCCAGTTATACATCTGTTTTTCCATATCCAATTGGCTGCCCTAATGTTAATATGCCTCTTTCTGTGGTGTATCCACTATCTGTCTGTCTTCACACTCTGTCTTGTTTCATCCACTGCTCTCCATCAGCTTTCTGTTGCCTGCATACATCCTACTTTGCAGATAGCCCCTCGTCTCTTCCTCACGAAACTGTCCTCTGCATCGCACACTCATGCTCTCTTTGTATTTGGATTCAAGGCCAGGTCAGTGTTTGCTAGAGTATGTACTTTTTTTGTCTTCAAGCTGAAGTCTTTTCACAACGAGCTACTGACGCAACTGGAGCAGAAAGTAGAACTGGATTCCAGGTATCTAAGTGTAAGTAAATCAGAACTCTTAGTTTAATATATTAAACAATACGAGCATGTTCCCAGCTCTTCTTTTGACTTTCTCTTTGCCGCTGCCTTCTCCACCAGCATTCCAAGCTTCTCCTAGTCAGTATGAGGGTGCAAGTGTTCCACCTTGACTCTGCTTGTTTGGGATCCGATTACCTTCATGTAATCCTGAATACAGTTGCGGGAGTTGAAGACCAGCCTCTCACCATGTTGCAGATTTTTAGCAAAAAATACTCTAGTGCTCTAAAACCTGTGGGCTCCAACCATCTCAACCCTGTGATGGCTGCACTTAACCTTTTCTGTATAATGTGCATGAACTGATACTAATTATGAATGACTATTTATTTGCATTGTGGTAGTGTCCAGAATATGCTAGGTGCTTTCCAGTCATCCTGCGCTCCCGGCTCTAAGGAGCATGCAGTCTAACTCTCATTGCTGCTAGTGACTGCTGTTTTTAAAGAGGAGAGCGATCCTTTTTTTTCTTAATTTGGTAGTCCACCGTGAAATCACCAACGTGCTGATATTTCTGCTTTCTGGGTCACTGGGAATCTGGTGTTCCCTCGTCTCCCAGAGGAGGATGGCTGCACGGTTGCCTTTTAAACATGCGAGTGTTCTAAAACATGCCTCTTGCCTCAGGAACGAGGTTGTGGAGGCCTTAGCTACAAGGAGAATGTAAACCGTGCTCATTAGGAGCAGAAAACCTCAGCTGCTCTGCTGAGCCATTGTTTCAGCTGTTCAGAGCTTCCCCCTGTTTTATATTCAGGCTGCGTTGAAGAAATACCAGACTGAGCAAAGGAGCAAAGGGGACGCGCTAGAGAAGTGCCAGGCAGAGCTGAAAAAACTTCGGAAGAAGAGCCAAGGGAGCAAAAACCCTCAGAAGTACTCGGACAAGGAGCTGCAGGTAGGACTCTTGGCTGGTAGTCTGCTGTCGATACCCTCAGTGATACGGACTGAAATGGGCCTTACTGAGTACTCCATTGGTTGCTAAGTTCATAGGATCATAGAAATGTGGGGCTGGAAGGGACCTCGAGCAGTCGTCTAGTCCAGCTGCCTGTATACCAAGTATGGTATACCTAGACCATACCTGACAAGTGTTTGTCCAACTTGTTCTTAAAGTGATGGGGATTCCACAACCTCCCTTGAAAGCCTCTTGTGGAGCTTAGCTTTCTTTATGGTTAGAAAGTTTTTCCTAATATTTAACCTAAATCTCCCTTGCTGCAGATTAAGCAATGTCCTGCCTTCAGTGGACAAGGACATCTATGAAGACTGTTATCAAATATCTCCCCCGCCGCCCCCCAGTCATCTTTTCTCAAGACTAAAGATGCCCATTTTTGTAACTTGGCCTCATAGATCCGGTTTTCTAAACCTTTTTTCACTTTTGTTGCTCTCCTCTGAACACTCTCCAATTTGTCCATCTTTCTTGAAGCGTGGTACCCTGAACTGGACACAGTACTCCAGCTGAGGCCTCCCAGTGCTGAGTACAGCAGGACAGTTACCTCTTGTGTCTTACAAACGACCCTCTGGTTAATGCACCCCAGAATATTAGCCTTTTTCACAACTCCATCACATTGGTGACTCCTATTCAATTTGTGATCCACTATAACTCCCAGATTCTTTTTGCAGTACAGTCACCTAGCTGGTTATTCCCCATTTTGTAGTTGTGCATTTGATTTTTTTTTTTTTTCTTAAGTGTAGTACTTTGTACTTTATTGAATTTCATCTTGTTAATTTCAGATCAGTTCTCCAATTTGTCAAGGTTGTTTTGAATGCTAATCCTGTCCTCCCAAGGTACTTGCAACCCCTCCCAGCTTTGTGTCATCCACAAATTTTATAAGCATATGCTCCACTCCATTATCCAAGTCATTAATGAAAATATTGAACAATATGGCCTCCTAGTTGGACAGCGAACCATTGATAACTGCTCTTTGAGGTTGGTCTGTTAACCAGAGTGCACCCACCTTTATAGTAATTTCAGTTACACATTTCCCTAGCTTGCTTATTAGTGTCTCATGTGGGACTGTGTCAGAAGCCTTACTAAAATCAAGGTATATCATGTCTACCGCTTCTCTTCTCCCAACACCCCCCCCCCTTCCACTCCGGCTAGGTCAGTAACCCAATCAAAGAAGAAAATTAGGTTGGTTTGGCATGTTTTATTCTTGACAGCTCCATGTTGGCTACTCCTTCTAATCCTATTATTCTCTAGGGGTTCACAAATTGATTGTTTAATAATTTTGTTCCAGTATCTTTCCAGGTATGGCAGTTAGGCTGACGGATCTGTAATTCCCCCAGATCCTCTTTGTTCCCCTTTCTAAAGATAAATACTGTGTTTGCCCTTCTCCTGTACTCGGGGACCTCACTCCTCCTCCAAGAGTTCTCAAAGATGGTTGCTAATGGTTTCATGATCGCTTCAGCTAGTTCCTTAAGTACTGTAGGGTGGATTTCATCCAGCCCTGCCAACTTGAATGCATCTTTCACCTGTTCTTTCCCTATTTTGGCTTGTGTTCCTCCCCTCTTGTTGTTAATAATACTTCTGCTGAATATCTGGTCACAATTAACTCTGAAGCAAATCAGGCATTAAATACTTCGTACTTCTCCTTGATGTCATCCATGTGTAGCTGTTCTTCCTCGCTAGGTAGAGGACCAACAATCCCCTTTGGCTTTCTCTTGTTCCTAACGTATTTGTAGACCCTCTTCATATTGCATTTTGTGAGCCTTGCTAGGTGTAACTCCTCTTGTACCTTAGCCTTTCTGGTTTTATCCCTATATGCTTGTGCTGTTCTTTTGTACTCCTCCTTAGCAATTGGTCCATGTTTCCACTTATAGGATTCCTTTTTGATTATTCAGGTCATTTAAAGAACCCCTGCTGGAACCATATTGGCCTCTTACTATTCTTACCCTAGATAGGATGTTATTTTGCCCTTCACGCACCACTTCCCAGTGGCAGCCCAAACGCGGAAGCCCCTTCGCTAATGGCTCCCTGTTTTCCTATCTCACATGAGCTGAGCACCCTTAGGGAGAGAAGGAGGCAGCATGGTCCAGAAGATAGAACATGGGACTGGAAATTGGGAGACCTGGCTCTTCAGTTGGCCATTAGATCCTGGGCAAATCACTTCACCTTTCTCTGCTCTCTCTAAACTGGCGAATGATGTTCAGTTTTGCAAAGTGCTTTGAGATCTTCTGATGAAAAGCATTGTATAAGAGTCAGAAGTCAATTGGGCTCATTGGGCAGACCCAAGTCAGTTTCGCAGCCAGCGGCAAACGATGGAATCCTTTGCCCAGCATCCCGTCCAACCGCCTTTGACTGCTCTAACCTGATGGGATCGGATACCCATTCTGCAGCAGGGTGAATTGGAAGTAGCCTTTTAGTCCAGCACCTTAACCATTCAGCCAGTGCATTAATTAATTCTGTCTCCTTGAATTGACTGAGATTGACTCTTCTCTTATCAGTGAAAGACCCAAGAAATAAAATTTTCATCCTAGTGAATTTCCAATGTCGGACACATCTCCTTCTGGATCGCATTCTGCTGAAATAATTTCTGTAGCCTCCTGGCTTTAAATTCCTATCCATTTCTCCCCCTCCACTCCCTTGGTACGACAGCTTGTACATGCTGGAGGCGTTTTTTCGTTAGACAGCAAAAAACTTACCTAAATAGTGACTTTTGATTCAAGCATACTTGAAAACTGCATACCGTTTTCTAATCAGATTTTGATTGCACCCTCCTGAGACTGCTGCATTTGAGTCCCTAGGCAGAGAGACTCTCACTTGTCTCTCAAGAGCAGCAGTGCACAGCAGTTTGTGTCTTGGGGGGAGGAGTGTGGGTTTTTTTTTTTTAAATATGCACATTTTAAAAGGCTAAAGCTTCAGGATTTCCAGGCAGGGATAAATGGGGGATATTATTTCATTTCAATGTATCCCACAAAGAGTTCTGAGAAGGCATTGCTGACATATGCAGAGCATCAGGAATTACTCTCCTGGGTACGTCCTACATTGCAGTAAAAGACCTGCAGCATGCCCATGGCTGGCCCAGGTCAGTTGACTCCGGTTTGGGCTGGGGGAGGGATAGGCTAAACAGTGCAGGGTAGATACTTGGGCTGGAGCCTGGGCTCTGAGACCCACCCTCCTCACAGGGTTTCAGTCAAGGCTCCATCTCCAGCCCAAACATCTATGCTGCAATTTTTAGTCCCACAGCCTGAGCCCCGCGAGCCCGAGTCAATCGACCCAGACTCTGAGACTTGTGCGGTGAGGCTTTTATTGCACCTTCTATTGACAGCAATGGACATCGAACCTGGATTGTGGCACAAAGTGTATTGAGGGGGTGGGTTGCTCAGGGGGTTAATGACTGTATTCATAGCATGAGTTCATTTCTTGTGGAAGTCACTGACCTCCGATTCAAGCCTCACCTGCAACACATCTGGGAGCAGTGCAAGTTTAAGCAAGCAATTAATCCATGGATCTGTAAACACCTTCTGGCTTAAAATGCTCTTTCTGCTTGTCTCTCTCGGTTAGTTCTAGCCACAGCTATGAAGTAAATACAGCGTCAATGGCACATTCCTGTTAGGCAAAATTAACCCACCGGCCAGATGACTTGCTAGCTCCTGTCTCAAATGCAAAACTTTCAGCAGCCGTGTTGCCCCTGGGATCAGTGTTACCCAAAGGTTATTTGAATGAGATCATACTTCCTAAATGTTCTTTTTATCTAAGCTGACCTAAACATAGGTAACAACTCCTCAGCCTGGGTTTATTGAAGTTCTCTGTACTGAAAAGCAGATGTGAAGTACTCACCAGCTAATTAGAATGAAGGTTATATAGGGGAGACTACACTTCGTAATTGTACTAAAACTCGGTGAGGGAGTTATTCTGTTAGCAGCGTGGAGCAGAAAGATCACTGAAGGGAAAAACTGGAAGTGTTTATCAGCATTCTTATCTCAAGCTTCCAGAAATAATTCTTGTGCTTGTTTAAAATGCTGCATATTGAATTTTTACTAATCTGTCCTAAGGCATCATTTATCCAGTGGCGTTTAGATAGTGGGGCTGCTGAGAGCCATTTAACAAAACTGTGAACCCTGCTGTTGGAAACCACTTGAAGCCCGGGGTGCTGCCACACCCCCAGCACCCTGAGTTCTAGCACACATTCTTGTATCCACCTGAGATTGGCTTTTAAAATTAGCTTCTTAAACAATCTAAAGTGTATTGGTATAATAAAACATGCAGAGAAGTCCTGTTTACTAGTTTATCTTGCTTGAAGACTTGATGAGTACATGAACTCTTAATTTAAAGATTTTTAAATCACTTCTGAATATCTGCTTCCTTGCAACATATTTCTCTTAATTGCCAGCTGAAAGAGAAGGAATGGTAGACCAGTGGGCAAGGATATCTTTAGATGCAGGAAAACCCAAGGCACCAAGATTGGCAATTAGCTATCGCTTGCTCACGAATGTTGCCTGTATGGACAAAGAGAACTAAAATCCTGCCACTGCTCCTTTATCTCCTCTGAGTCATCTAAGCACCTAGAGACTGCATTGTCCTTATTCTTGCAGGGATTCCCCCACCTATGATGTACACCTCCAAGTTAGCTAAAATGAATTCTCCCCTTCTCCTCCTCCATCTGCACCTCTCCGCCATACGAGAGAGAGGGTGACTATTCAGACGCTCCGTTAACTGAGCCTTTGATGTTCTTGACACACAGTAGCAGAGATGTGGGTTAGTTCTATTAGCGTGACTTGTTTTGGGTAAAGGGAAAGAAACCGGATCAATCTTTCAAGCACTTAATCTTTCTACAGTAGGAGTTTAGGAAGAGCTTATCTCTTTGGAAAAACCTTACAATGGTTTTTAAGCTTAAAAAGAGCTGTGAAAACTGCTGGATTGCTGGGTTTTTCTGGATTAAAATAAAAAGTTGGCAT